CCCCGTCCTCCAACTCCTTCCTGCAAGCTCCTGGCCTGGCCGGCACCTTCCCATGCCTGCTTGTCCCCATGATGTGGAAGTAGTGAGGCTCCCCCGAGAACATCTGCACCCCTTCAAGAAGGGGCCCACTGGCTAGGCCGCCGATGGCCTTGCTCCAAGCATGTTGCCTTCATGGGACCCAAGACCTTGCGGTGTCAGCTCAGACGAGGGGGAAGCTTCAGGCACCCTGTCTGCTGGGATGACTGCCCTTCTCTTCTTCTAAGCTGGACCAGCTGCAAGTGAGGCAGACCCACTTCCTCTGGCCCACAAAAGCTCATCACCTAATAAACTATCTTGTTAGTCTTTAAAGTGCTGCACAGTCCTCTCTTCTGTTTCAGCAAGACCAGACGAACACGGCTATATCTCTATTACACTTCAGGATGAGCTTATTCCAAAATAAGCATGCAGTGTAGATAACTCCTACTTTAAGGGTACATCTCCACATTACAAAACTTCAGCAGAGTCTCCTTCTCTAACCTTCAGAAAGTCCCATCAGATTTCCCTTTTATGCTGTCTATAATTCAGTCTAGAGATGGCTTGGAAGGCCTTGGTGCCTGACATTAATACTTTAAGTATAGCTTTTAATATATTATGGGCTAAAATTGCCAATTCTGCATCTTAGCATGAGACTATGAACAGCAGTTGATGGCCCTTTTCTATTGATTTATGATTCCGAAATACCTGCACCCTTGGGTGGAAGAGTTTATATTGAAGGAATTTAGGAAGAGTTACTTGTACAATGTACAAAGCAAGCAGCATGTGTGACCATTCATACCTCGGTTTGAGTTGCTTAGGAAGACTGGTGCCATATTTATTCCTGTAAAGTCCTTGGGATCCACAGCTCCTCCATCTTCTGCCAGCTCCTCTCAGTGCCACATTATAAAAAGATGGTTTTCCTGGATGCTGTCTGGCAATGCAGATGGGGAGCGACACCCCCACTTCAACGCGAAAGCAAACCCCTGGGCACATTCAAAATCTACGTCTCTCAGGTTATCTGAATGTCCCCCTAATGCTGTGGTCCTCGGATGCATCAGGGCTCAGCTCCTCCAGCTCCCACTGTGGTGATAAATTGGATTTTTTTTCTGCTACACAGGACCAGGACAATGGAAAGTCACCTTGACAAAAACTGGTACAGGTAGCTAGAAAGGACTGCACAGTACATTAATCACAAACTTTCTCACAGTATTTCACAACTTTCCTTTCCCAGTCAAACCTCCAGGCTTGTGGGAACATGCGGTAGAAAGGAGGGCAAGTTAGTGAAACTCAGGCTGGGTTAGGATTGGGTGTAGCTCAGATCATCAGAGATATACTTGCTCATGTCACACGTAAGATCTTCTGGAAATCAAAGTGCCAATTCAATTTAAAAAAAAATATTTCTGGGCTCTCGTAGGAGCAGGAAGAGCTGAAATACCACAAACATGTGGTTTCACGAGGATGATAGCCATACTGTTCCCAAGAAGCTATGTTCTATACGGACCCCTCCCTTTCAAAAGCACGCTGATGGTCCCCAGGTATTATTTCTAGCCTTTCTTGGAAGCAGAGAGTGCCAGACCTCTAATGAGTGAGTCAGTTCTCATGTGATTTCCAGACTGGTTTTGCAGAGCCAAAATGTTCCCATGAGTTTCTATACTACCAGGAGCTTTTCCTGATTTCAACCCAAACTCAAATCATCCATCTGTGGACAACAGGTAATGCAGATCCTTTGGGGATCCTCACACTTATGAAGTACCTTCTCCTGGCTCCCCCGTGAAAGGAAGGAATATCAAAGGAAACAGTAGGACAGGAGAGTTCTCTGGGGGCAGCTAGAACCCAGCAGAAACATCAGTGAAGGTCCTAATGGAACCTAATTCCCTAAAGGCAGCTGTATTTAATTGCCAAGTGCCTTGCTACCTAGAGGTATGGCAGATTCTTCATTGCTTCAAGTATTTAAATCAAGACTGGGTGTTTCTAAAAGAGACTCACAAACAAGTTATTAGGCACAATGCAGGAACGAATGGATACATTTCTCTGGCCTCTGTCAAGCAGGAGGTCAGAGCAAGTAGTCACTTAAGGGCCATAAAAATCCATGGTTCTAACAAAAAGGCCCGTGGAAAGAGGGCAATCTCCAGAAAAGGAGGCCACCATGGGATCGCTCCATTCTCCCAGGACCTTCAGTAATTTACTTGGGCTTGAATTCTGGATCCTGCCAATGTACTATGGGTCACTTCACCATTTGTGCAACAAGCCCAGAAACATTGGATCACAGTGCTGGCAAGCAAGTTTTGCTGGAATCACAGCCTGTAAATGCAATCCAGCGGCACAGAAGCCTATGAGAGCATCAGAATCTTCCCTAATGTTCCTTTTTCCATGTAATCCAGGGCTAGTGCTGCCAGACCAATGTCATACCCTTGTAAAGAAGGCACAGCCTCTGCAAAGTCAGAAAAGGCGGGGGAAGCTATACGTGACACAAACAATCTCTTTTCAAATGTGACTCACTCTGTTAAGAAACTGGAGAGCCCTGTAACTGACGGTGGATAGCGGCTGTGGCATTCCGTGGGGTGACCCCCTTTACTCCATTAATGCCTAGGAGACAGATACAGGCCATGCTGATGTTTGGGACTGTCTCACATCTTGACAGTGGGCGAGCTCAAAGGTAGCTGTAAACCACTTCTCTGGCTCTTTAATCTTCAGGTTTCTGGTCCATCCCTGAGGGTACGTCTACACTACAGAGGAAGATCGAAGCTGCTACTGTTGATTTTTTTTCCAGGGTTCGAATTAGCGGGTATAGTTAAGACTGCTAATTCAAACTGAAAGGGGTGCTCTGGTCGATGCCAGTAGTCTTGCTTCCACGAGGAGTAAGGGACGGGAGAATGTTCTCCCTTTGATTTCATGCAGTGTGGACAGCACCAAAAGTCGAGTTAAGGTTCTTCGACTTCAGCTATGCAATTAACATAGCTGGAATTGCATATCTTGTGTAGACGTATACATGTAGTGACAACTTAGGCAGATCTCCTTGGCCTGGCTGTGCTGTGTCTCAAGAGATCTGTGGTCATTCTTCTGCTGCTTAGGCTTTGCACATGTTGTGGATTGTGAGAGGTCAGGAAAAGAAACTGAATGGGATCACTGCAGGCCACAGCTGATGCCTCTGTGCAAGAGGAATCCTCAGGAGGCTACCGAAGTTAATAGAAGTTAATAATAGATTGCTTTGTGTTGGACTTAACGAGGTCAAGGTTCTACCGCCTATGTTTTCAGAGTCCTTGTTATAGAATCCAGCCTGTGGTACGAGTACCCTTAGGGGTACTTAAGAGATGTCTGGGGCGGGTATGTCAACATAACTGAAATGTGGGGAAAAAACTGAATTTTTGTTTTAAGTTTTACAGCACTTTATTATTTTTGTACTTTTTACACTCAAAAATGTTATTGCCTGCCTGGCTACGGTTAAGTTGTTTAAACAAATGTGTTGCAATGGTAGAAAAAAAATTTGTCTGAAAATTGTAGGTACTGAGGGTACTCTTTTTTTTTTTTTTTTTTTTTTTTTTTTTTTTGGGGTGGATTTTTTTTTTTTTTTTTATAAAAAAAAAAGGTTGAAGAACACTGGTCTAGAACAGTGCAGGCTGCATGCCAGGGAAGAGCAGTGGATTTTTACTATAAACACAGGCTCATGGAAGGCCTAGAAGTAGACTAGCATGACAATCGTGTGGGTAAGGTCCAAGGTTGGCAAGCAGATCTGTGCAGGGTAAAGGGATTTGGCTAGGGCTCAGACCGTTAGGAATGCTGGCAGCCAGGACTCGGGTAAAACCTCTCCCATACTGTTTACAGAGCAAGGTCTAAAATAAAAAAAGGCATTGTACTCCTTTCCAAAGAGTTTGATGGTCAGAGGATCCTATGCAGCCTTAATGGACTGTCCAGGAAATACAACCACATTCCTTAGCAGCAGAGATGGTAGAAGTTACCTCTTAACCTAGCACCCTTGTGAAACAAGCACCACCTGTCGATGGTCTGGAGTTTGTTTTTCTGCCACTTCATTTGTGTCAAGCCTTGGTGGAAAAGTCCGTTTTCATCCCCTGCTGACCCGGCTAGATTCTGACAGAAGATCTGCCACTGTGGATCACGGAGTTAGCCAGAAGTGCCCTCCATAGGCGTTATAGTGGACAAAGATGCTAGTTCAGCCATCGAAAGGGTTGTGGTGCTGCTATTTGGGGAATTTGGAGCTATCCTTCACACTTTAAGGCCTCTTGGCAATAAGAGACCTTCCTAGCATCTCTCTACGGGAAGAAAGAGGCTTAAGAAAAAAAACCCAGAGCTGGGCAGCCCCAAGGCTGGTGTGAAACAGAGAAAGTGGTGAAAGGAGAGCATTGATAAGGGAGTGTGTGTAAGAATGGTGTGGGGAAAGGTTTGAGGCACAAGGAAGACCACAATCAGGGACACAGCCCAGGGAGTTTGGAAACAGAGATGGACTCTTTACAAAGACCCAGATTCTGAGCTGTACCTGGCACATCTCTAGGAAGAGCCGAGTTGACTCTGAGTCAGCCTTTGGATTCTCAAGCTAAGGAGGGAGTTGGTCTGGTCTTCAGTCTTTAGAGCTGTACAGCCATGATGTTGGGCCACCCCAGGATCCCTCATGGCTGGGCCAGGGGTCCAGAATCCAGTCCTACGTGCCTTTAAACAATCTGCAGCATGGCTCCTTAAATTCCCACATGTGGTTTTAAACACTTTGCACAAAAGAGACAGAGGGGTGTGTACACAGTAAGGGTGTTTGTTTAATGTTCCCAGTGAGGCCTGGAAGCCAAAAGCCAACTGGAGAGCTGGGTTAGACCAGGCTTCCTGTAGGAAACAGCAGTTTCCTTCATGTGCTTCAGCTAGGAAGTGTCTGCGTCTTAGATTTGGGTCCTGGTTTTTCTGAGTTCTAGGGGAGAAGGTGGGTGGGGGAGCTGGGAAACTAGATGTATGTGAGTCGGCACCAGCTAGTATTTATCAGATGGGGAGGGCCTGAGGGAAAGCAGGTGGCAGCCCAGAGAGCAACATCTGTGCGTGTTCACACAAGCTCTGTGCTCTCCACTGCGCTCAGCACTGGGGATACTTGTCTGGGTGAGAGGGGAGCTTTCTGCCACCCTGCTGTGTGAGAAGCACCAAGATGGATGGGAGGCTCTTAGCCCATCCCCTTTCCTCTGCTTTTCCCAGCCTCATAAGGAGATCCTGATCTCTCGAAATGGCCAGCGAGGCTTTGTCGGAACCAGGAGCCACAGGAGAGAGCTAGACACAAGTAAGCCAGGGGGACACAAGGGAGGGCATGTGTGTTCTTACTATGCTTATGGGACCCGAGGCATGCTGTGAATTATGTCACGCTATCCCATGCTGCGCTGCAGTAATGGGATGCCGCTGGAGCTATTCAGTAGTGGCTGCGTCTAGACTGGCAAGGTTTTCCACAAAAGCAGCTGCTTTTATGGAAAAACTTGCCAGCTGCCTACACTGGCTGCTTGAATTTCTGCAGGAACACTGACTATCTCATGTAAGATTGTCAGTGTTCTTACAGAAATACTATGCTGCTCCCATTCGGGCAAAAGCCCTCTTGCGTAAATGCTTTTGCGCAAGAGGGCCAGTGTAGACAACGCGGTATTGTTTTGCGCAAAAAAGCCCCGATCGCAAAACCGTGTCTAGATTGGCATGGATGCTTTTCTGCAAAAAGTGCTTTTGCGGAAAAGCGTCCGTGCCAATCTAGACGCTCTTTTCCGCAAATGCTTTTAATGGAAAAACTTTTCCGTTAAAAGCATTTGCAGAAAATCATGCCAGTCTAGACGTAGCCTAGTGTGTATTATTGTGCAAGTATGATGACACATGGAGCTATAATGCTTCAGCCTGGACCTAGAAGAGCTGAGAAGGCATTTCGATCTCTGTCCATTCAACCCTTGTTTTTTTTCTGCTGAAAGTGCTGATGAGGGCCAATTAGTACCAAGTGTGGCAGAGGCTTTTCTGATCTGGATATCTTCCACTGAGACCCACCAAACTCGTTTCACCCAGGCCAGCAAACTGGGGGAAGGTAAGAACTTTAAGCCTGGTCCAAAACCCAGATGAAGAGGACTCTGAGTTACTACAGGGAATTCTTTCCCAGGGGTCTGGCTGGTGGGTTTAGCCCACATGCTCAGGGTGTAACTGATTACCAAAACTAGGACTAGGGAGAAATTGTCTCCTGCATCAGACTGGCTGAGACCCTGGGGAATTTTTGCTTTCCTCTGCAGCATGGGTTACTTACCGGGTAAAACTAGTGTAAATAAGGGATTATCTGGAACACAAAGTCTTTTATCCTCTGTCTTGAGGATTTGAGTAACTCTGGCAGAGGCCAGTACCAGAGTGAGTGGGGTAGGTTATGTGTCTTTCAAGAGGTCCAACTAGAGGATCTTAATAGTCCTATCTGGTCTTAAAGTCTGTAAGAGTCCCATAGAGTTTTCATCCAGGCCTGCAGTCATGACTGGGAAGGAGGAAGTTCTGTGGGTTAAGCACAGGACTGAGTACTGGGTTATATTCCTGGCTCTGTCATGGAATTTCTGTGCTCTTGGACAAGTCACTTAATCTCCCTGTACCTCAGTTTCCCCGTAAGGAGTTTAAGTAAATAGGGGAGGTTGTGAGGCTTACAGTCCATAAGGTACTATAACAGATCACAATACTTGGATCTCCTTTGTCCTCTGCAGTTGTGGTGTTGACTCTTGAAGGGCTGGGAGAGAGATGCAGACAGCCTGTTTGCTAAGTGTTTCAGGTGGCCCTTAGCAAAGTGAGAATGGGACACTTTTTCCTTTTTTTTCCTCTGAGAAACCTCTCCCTCTCTGCTTTAATTTATGATGCCAGAAAGTGGTGACTTCCAATGTCAAAGCCAAGATCAGACAGTGACGCACTTTGGGATTGACATGATACCATATGGAAACTTCCCCCTCTCTCCCAGCTTTGTGTAAATTCCATTGGAAACAGGATCTGGGCAGCTCGAGACCTGCTTGGAATCTGGCCTGGGTTTGCCGAAATGGCCCAGGCTTGAGGATGCGAAATGAAACCTAAAACCCTGCAAATCTCTCCTGGCTCTGAGTTTTGCCATGCTGATAAATAGTTTTCCCATAACAATGCCTATTCAAAGCACTGTACTTGCCTAGTGAATAGTCATGCTGCTTATATCATTGCTCCTAAATCCGTTCAGCTGAGTGGGGCAAAGCCGAAATGCCCTTACAAATCTAGGCCTCAATTTGATTAAAATTGTGATGAATGTGCTTATGACACTAGCTGCCCATTTCATCAAGCACCTACAGAACAGAGCTATCAGAACTGGGCCAGATTTATATGGACCAACTGACAGCCTCAGCTCTGTGGAGGTAAAAGGTATACTTGGAAGAACCCGAGTCTCAGTGAGGGTGGACAAACAACTGAAAACTGTGGAAACCAATCCCCGGGAAACATTGGGCCCACCTAAGGCTCCAGAAGCACTAAAGTGCTCTCGGCCTCTCAGCACCTGCATTAGAATGGCTAATAAGCCACTGGCATCACTGGTAGCTTCTTGCCTACCAGACTTTAAATAGGAGAACCCAGAACAACTCAACTGGAAACACTCCCGTGCAAAGGCAAAATGTACACACTGCAATGCTGCTCCTGTCCTGATGACCACAGAAAAGTGGCTAACTCACTCTACTCGCTACCCCTCTCTACTGAACGGCCCCAGGGGCTGTGGGACAGGGCTGGGAAAACTC